CATCACTTCACTTACTGTAAACCTGATAAATTTGAGACACCAACAGATCATTTTGAGTTACAGGGAACAACTAGGAAGAAAATATATCTTTTATTGAGCATTTTGGAGTTGATTCAGAACCTGACATCTTGCATATCAGGAGATTGAAGAAGGCTGAGCCGCATATATTAAGGAAGGGTATAACAGAATTATAATGTATCTATTCCTGTACCGACTTCAATTCTGAATTTTGTTGACTTCAGTTTGTTCCTTAAAGTATGCACAAAAAGCATTCGTAAAGATTTGTGAAGAATGGTGTTAAAACGCGTATATTTAAGATGTAACGTTATCTTAGTAGTTACATTCAAGATTGCTTAAGGTGGGACAAAACACTTTTAATTGATACTGTAGAACATTATCAATTCCAAACTAACAACCAGTAATAGCTGCAGTTACAAAACTAACAATTTGACTTGAATGTACAGTCAGTATAGAAATAGTTTCAGGCACCTAGGTTTGTATTGGCGGAACGTTGGTGCACAACTATAGTGCAACACGCTTTCAGACATCACGCTTGGTTTAGCTCCACTACAACTGAGTGTATTGAATGCTCACCGCCCTCTCTGCATAGTTTATTTGTATCGTGTCTGTTATACGCAGATGACGTTGTATTATTTTCCCGAGTCCGATAAAGGACTGCAAAACGCTCTAAATAGATTGAAAGACTTCTGTGCCAAATGGAAACTTCAAGTTAATTTAAAGAAAACGAAAGTCATTATTTTCAACAAATCTGGCCGGTCTTTCCCCACCAAAGTTTTATGTTTGGACAGGACAAAGTGGACACAGTCCAGTCCTACTGCTACTTGGGCCTGAATATTACCTCATCCGGTAGCTTCTCTCTTGCAAAAAACAGCTCTCACTCAAAGCAAGGAAAGCCATGTTTAGTCTCAAATCTTTACAACGTTCATCTGCCTCTCCGAAGTGCCTGCTCAGAATATTTGACGCTTGTATCAAACCAATACTTCTGTATGGGTGTGAAATCTGGGGAAAAGAACCTGTAAACGAGACCTCACCAATCGAAAGTTCCCATAATCGTTTCTGCAAGAATGTACTTGGAGTGCATAGAAATTGTAGTAATGTAGCTGCTAGGGCAGAACTAGGAAGACTCCCGTTAGATTTAGATATATCCCTGCGTACTGTTAAATTCTGGACACACTTGACACAACTTAATACCGATACACACCCTCTGCAAGTTGATGCACTCCTGTTACAACGTAATTCCCTGTCATATAGTCGTAGACGGACATTGTTACAGCGAGTGAAGGAGATCCTCGATCACTGTAGGATATTCCTACCTACTGCATATTGATAGTACAACCTGCGATCCTCAACATATGTACAAAGTATTAAGGACAAGGCTTTCAGACATGTACATTCCTTCCATAGTTTGTCTGTTAATACCGGTAAACTGAGATTCTATAGAAAATGTAAAACTGAATACTGTTTAGAACAATACCTAGAACATTGTGACTTCGATCAGCGCTCCGCTATTAGTAAAATTAGAATCAGTGCCCACTCCTTGGAAATCGAAAAAGGGCGATATATGAAACTACCTGTGTCGGAGAGAATTTGTAAATATTGCTCCTCAAATGCAGTGGAAGACGAAATTCATTTCATCTCTGTCCATTTTATGACGACATCAGAAATCAATTATTTACCACCGTGTCCAAAATGCTGCCTTACTTCCCCACCATTCCTTACCACAAAAAAACAATTTTACTACTAAAATCAAAGAACCCACATATTATAGAAGAAGTGGGTAAATTCGTCTTCCATTGCCTAAAAAGAAGAAGTCAAACCCAGTGTCATGTCATGTTGTAGAATATAGTATAATGTTAGAAGTAGATATAGTCTCACATACCACTGTATTTTCTTTCTATGTTGTTTGTAACTGCAATTAGCACTCGGGCAAGTATTTGCAATAAACTTTCTTTATTATAAAAAACAAATCCGTCTACTACATTCTGTGCACCTTAGATTGAACACAAACACGGCTAGGAGACTTCCTCTCCGAAAAATAGAGTCAGCTAGACTCCCGGACCAGCTACTTTCCTAGAACAGTGGTAACAATCCCACAACACAATTAGATGTAGCCAGTCAGCTACTGTAGTAACAAAAAGTAAAAAAAGGGTCAAAAGGGTCCAGGCCTAGCATACGGATTTAAGTACAGAGAAATAAAAGGATCAAGAGCCATGCATATTCAGGTGTATTCCATGTCTTTCGCAATATTGTACATGTTCTGGTGTAAGGTCTTTCATCATATCCAGTGGCACAACAACCTCATCTCGCTGAAAGTCTGGATTCTTTGCTTTCAGACAAGAAAAATTTGTGTGAAAGTAGCCTTGTTTCCACCCAGGTTGTATTCCACCCTTTGTTTGGTCAAAGTACGGGTAGCTATTGTAATGCCCTACTACCAGGTTGGCTGGGGGAGGGTCATGGGCGATTGTTCCCAGGCATCCCCGGCACCTCGTTATTTGCTTTGTTTTGAACTTTAAAGTGAATGGACGATGGCACTGTGGGGTGAGGTGTGGCCTCTTCGTCACAGCTGGCTGACTTGGTCCAGGGCGTGGCCTCTTTGTCACAGCTGGCTGACTTGGTCCAGGGCATGGCCTCTTCGTCGCAGCTGGCTGACTTGGTCCAGGGCGTGGCCTCTTCCTTGCAGCTGGCTGACTTGGTCCAGGGCGTGGCCTCTTCCTAGCAGCTGGCTGACTTGGTCCAGGGCGTGGCCTCTTCCTAGCAGCTGGCTGACTTGGTCCAGGGTTTGATGATTCTTCCTGTACTTCTGTAAGGTAGTAGATATTGTAATTAGGAATCTCTCACTATACATGTCCCTGATGCTGTTGTAGGTCTATGAAGTGTGTGGCAATTTGACAACTGTATATGACTGCTATGAGGACAGTTTGTTTTATTTGACTAAAAGCTGAGTGAAAGAAAGCTACCACAAGACTTTTTTACTGATTATTATGTGTAGGAATCTAGCCTGTGTTTACAAGCTCTCGGCCGGGAGTTAATTAGACCCCCAAGGGGCGGCAACCTTCGGAAGGCCGGCCGCCAGGAGCGCGATTTAGTTAGGCTATGTAGGAATCCAATGACAATTATATAGATATTCCTCATGGTTGAAGGTACTGACTTGAGTTTTTTCAATGAAATTTCGAAATGTGGTGAAAGGAGCATGCATTGAATCGGATGCAATTCAAAATTTCCATTATGTCATTGCTGATGACAGTTTTGTCTGGCTTTTTGCGGAATTTATGAATCGGCACTGTACGGTATGTACTGAGTTCTTGAGTTGTGGAGCTTCGGTAGCCTGGGTGCCTGGCTCGAGCTCCGTATTGTTGCTAACTACCATGGACTACCCAGGCTTAGAGCCAGACCAGAGCCTCGGTGATTTTTTTTTAAGAACAGGCGAAAATCAATGCGCGCGGGGATGTCATCCATAAAATTAAGATCTAAAATTAAATTCTAAATAACATTTAGTTCTCCGCGGTAGTTTTCTTTATTCGTATGATATCAATTGAATAATTATGTTAGCCGCACAATATTATATAAAAGAAACAAAACACTTTTAACTGTATATGTCTTCTGGGACGGGAGGTTTGTTACTCACGCTAAGTCTCATGTATTTTTAAATGTCTTGTAAAATATTTTTCTTTCAGTGTAAAAGTGGCTGCGAGAATATAATTTTTACCTAACTTGAGTTCACAGTCACTTAGTTCATGTCTTTTCATTTGTAACCTTCATTGTGATTCTGAATTTAAAAAAAATTAAGTCGGTGTGGCCTTACCTGCAGGGAATGTAGGCCCTTTCCCCGCGATGACGATACTACGAACGGCCGGATCCCGCTGAGCCCTCTCCAGGCCGCTGACCAGAGCCTGTAGCACATGGCGGGTGAAGGTGTTCAGCGGAGGGTTGTTCACCTGCAGTACCGCTACAGACCCATATGTGGAGTATTCAGCCATACCTGCAAATGACGAAAGAAATGACGGTTATTCGAATTTTTCGTTTTTAGCGACGTCTCAGAGAGGAGCCTAATGGTACAGTATTGTGCGCAGTTTGCAAGGATTCTAGGAATGGTACAGGCATTTTGTCCACAGGAATGGAATGTCCACAGGAATGTCTCTGACCACATTAATTTATGCCCACATTCCTGGAAAGACTTAGGAAGACCTCTCTTCCCTCGATGGCCCTTCGAATTCCTTCTGTGACCCTGGGGCCCGTTCACTATACACTCAGGGGAGGAGTGCAATGTATTTATTTATTGCTCTTAAATATGTATCTGTCTAGACTTAACAGGTACCAAGTCTTCCTCAAAATCATAAAATGATGGCAGTGCCATGCAAACAATAACCATAGTAGCAACCACCGTCGCCATGGCAATGTATGTTTTCATTGCCAGTCTTGTTATTTTTATGCCAAACCAACGGATTTTCTTTTGCACCACCTCGATATTTATTTATTTATTTATTTCTGTTTTATTTAAACAGGGTAGAGACCTCAGTGCTATTTAAAAACACTGCTTTTCAGGAATGCCCTGTACGTGACACCAAGTTACACATGAAAACAATAAAACCAACACATTAAACAATACATAAAGTTACAGAACAACCAAGCGTCAAAACAGAATCGTTAATCGTAAATCAGTGTCGTTAAGCCAGGCCAAGGTAAGGAGGTCAGAGGTCAGCAGTGTTGTTTCAGAACCTTTCTAATCGACGGGTAAGACGTGGCCACTCTAACTGTGGCAGGTAGGCCGTTCCAGGCAAATGCTCCCCTATACGCAATCTTTCTTCGGCCAGATTCTAATCAGACTTTAGGATTTTTTTTTTAGGTTTTAAAGATAAGTTTGAGTTGTGCCTAGTTTGGTAGATATGGGATGTTCTACAGAACATGTGTAAGTATTCGGGTACTTGTTGGTGTATTGTTTTGAAGACGGTTTGAAGGAGGTGCATAGCCTTATATTTTCACAAACAATTGCTACATCTAGCGGTGAGAAGCAGAACTCCAGTCAGAAGGAAGGTCTAGGATAGACACTGTAAGAAAGGTGAAACAATTCCTAGCTGTACTAAATACTATTAGTAATTGTGCATTGAAAAATCCTCAATATCATTCTTTTCAGATATGAAACAACTTTTAAATTAAATATAATTGCCAACTTACTAGTAACAGCTACTCAAGCAACTGTAATGTACTCGTGATCACATTTCACGGTGGTTCAAAACGGCCCTGAAAATCCCCACTCGTAGCTAATTGATATTGATGAAAATAAGATGCCAATCACACTTGTTACCATTGGCAACTGTCTATGATTGGTTGACACTTTTGTGGGCCGGCCATAGGAATGTTTACCTTGCTGTTTGCCCCCTGCGAATGTTTCCTGCCAACTGTTCTATTTATATGCGCACTCCTCAATTGTTCTTATTTCACACATTCTAACAATACATAGCATGGGTACAAGGTATCATGATCATTTTCTGCCCTGGTACACACATACAGAACAACATGGTTTCTAACTCTCTGTGTAATTCAGTTGTGATCAAAACGTAAAAATACTCAGATAGCGGCGGTCACGAGGTTACCCTTGACCGGCCAAGGTCAGGCAAGATTTGGAAGAACGCCGATAAGCCAAAATCCTCGATGAGACTTAGACTACATGTTACTAAAAAAACGCCGCCCTTATACCGTTTTCTACAAAATATAAAATAAACACTGATTCGTACTGTACAATTATCTTCTTTGAAAATATAACTATGAAATATAATGCTATATTGACAGACATACTAGTTATTTATAAGCATTTACATTTAGGTACGTACGATCCGATACTGCTTGTTGATGTTGTCGTCCTTGTTTAACGTCTAATACTAGTATCACGCAAGATGTGGTCTCTTGGCGCTGCTTTGCGCATGGTACAGTTCAGAGCCAATTGTCTCTCTAGGTATTCAACTCTTGGTGCTATAAACTGCCCACAAAGAGTAATGGCCTATTATGCTTTTTAACTGCAGTAGTCGTCTCTCGTGCCCATGTCCATTTCCGACACACAGTTGTGCATATTTTTGGGGTATTAAGAATTTGTTCTTGTTTTTTGTAATTTAGAAAGTTGAGCAATCTGATTCTAGATTCTTTTAGTAATGTCAGAGACAAGAATTAGTTTCTTTACTTTCTTGACTTTGAATAATTCTATACTTGTAACTAGCATAGTTTTACTTATCTAGATAGTTCAAGAAAATGATTCTTGTTTTTCTTGGTCAGGTTATGTTCAAGAAAATACAAGAATCTGTGTCTTTGCTTTCTTTTTAGACAAAAAAATGGTTGAATTAGAAATCAAATTTAAAACCTGAAAGCAAAAAATACTTAAAGTTCTTTAACGTTTTTGTTTTCCTTATCGAGAAAGTTCAAGAAAGATGAGTTTTTTCCCTGGTAATGTTCAAGATAATGTAAGAATTTTTTTCTTAACATTCTAGCCATAACTGTCATGTGATCTCTTGTGAGCTCCTGATTGGTTAATTCAAATCCCAGAATGCAGTTAGGGATTTTTGAACAGAAGCTGGGGTGAAGTCAGATGTGGGGGCAGTGCTCTGTGCTGGTTACATCTTTTTAGTCAGATATTGATTCATATCGTCGGATTTGAAGTCAAAATCAAGGTAAAAAGGACCTTGTGAGCATGTGAAGCCATGGTGATCGTGTCGGCTTGCAGAAGAAACCAACTTTGGAACGAAAAAAGGATGGAACCAAACTTATATAAGGTAAGTGCGCCCCCCTCCCACCAAGAAGAAAAATCTGTTGACATTGTTTTTAGACTTCATAGCTTATTTGCTACAATTCCATTGGGGTTGATTTCTAAATTGTATCTCTGGTATATTGTAGAGTACAGTGTTTTACTACATTATAATTATATTATTTTCAATTGTTGAGTAAACTTGAAGTAATTCAATCCTATTTTTAGCATCCTCTTTTGACTTTGTTGTCTTCAGCCCCTGCATGCAATGCAAACTAAGAAAGGTCTTTCCTGTTTTTTTCAGGTTTCCAAAGACTGTGACTGTGCCAATGCTATAATGCCAAAGCTGCAGGGTTTGCTGAATGTTTGGAATGTGATATGATCTGTATTCTTTAACCATGATAATGGCTTGTTGGTTACATCGTATGATAGTTTTAAGTTTACTGTAAAACTTGTTTCCATTCAAAGAATGTCAGATACATGTACATAATGAATGTGGTAATGAATATTCACCGGATGAAATCCCTAGTTTCCGTGTGAGAAATTGTCGCACACTTTCCCGGATATTTTAGGTTTCCGGTAGAACCCGGGGGTTTCCAACCTGCACACGTATAGTGTCCAGTCCCGTACATGTCCTGGAAATTCAAGGAAATGAACCAATTTTTGTGTGCAGGCCGTGTACGGGACGTTAAATGCCTGGACACGTCGCCTTTAAATCCCTGTAAACGGCAGGAAATGTCCGTGCACCGCTCCGTGTGTTGCTGGAATATGCATAATTTAGCAGCAATTATCACCTAATTATCCTCAACAGGGCAAC